AGAATTGGGATCATGATAGTGGAGGGGGAGGAAGCATTTAAGAACTAGAGGGAAGTTGTATGTTTCATCGTGGCTACCCTGTACCCTGACTGGCTTGTCTCCCCACAACCCTTCAGTAAGGGGATGTCCAGTTGCCTACAGATGGGCTTTGGGTCTCCAGTCCACACTCCCCCTCATTCACAATATGATTTTTTGTTCTTTGATGCCTGATACCTTAAAAGGGTGAATTTTATCTGAAAAATCATGAGAATCAATATGTATACAGATGAGGGTAAATAAACATGTGTTGCTACTAGGGTTCAAGTTCACACGTGCATGGGTTTATTCCAAACCAGTTGCTGTGCAATGGGTTAGGCATTAGGCTGCTAACTTGAAGGTTGCTGGTTCAAACTCACTAGCTGCTTTGCTTCCATAAAGATGTAGTCTTTGAAACCCTAGGTTAGGGTCACGATGAATCGGAATGGCTCACTGGCAGTGAGTGTAGTGGATTTTCCTGTGATCAGTACATGATGGACAAGTTATTTCTGTAATACCTTTGTCTCCTTAGGGTGCCTTCAAAAAACCCCAAAAAGCCCAATCAAAACAGTGGCTTCAGAGGGATCTTCTGGGCCAGTTACATCCAAGGCAGAGGTCAACTCTGAAAGTTATGGCCGTTCTTGAGAGTTCTAAAAAGGTAATCTTTATAAAGGATGTGACAATCATGGGGGCTTATTATAAAGTGACCAGACATCCTGCTCCCGATTTTTAACAAATTTTCCCGCGTCCTGCGGCGTTTTAAGAAAGTCCCGATTTTTGGAAAGAATGCATGACAAGCTAGGTTATACGGTTTTGGGCTGCCACGTGGCTATTTCACCAGGATGAGTTTTATCAATGGTGTCCCGCTTTTGCCCCGCTTTACCCATGTTAAAATCTGGTCCCCTTAGCTATTAGGACGAAGTTTTAAGAAAACAGAAAACTGAACTGGTGAGAAAAAGGCCCGGAAAGTTACACCAGAGACGATTTTCCATCTCACTGTTCCTCAAGAGCCGCAAGGGCTGCCCTTGAGAACTTCACTGTGAAATCTTACCCTATCCACCCCACAGCCTCTGTCTTGCCTCCTCAGAATTCCGTTGTTCTTAACATTTAAAGGATACTGAAAAGGGACAAAGACTTGAGTCCCTCCTGGTTGCCACACTGCTGTTTTGATGTGGTGTAATGGGAGAGAGGAGAACTGTGGAGTAGAGAGATGGAAAACCGTCACAAGTGTAAGACCTAGATGGAGGATATGTTGAGGAAACAATAGCATCACCTTTGTTATATTTTTGTTTAATAAAGGTTTTCATTTTCTCTAGCAGTACCTTTTGATGTGGACATACATGGATCTCTGGACTGTTGTGTGCTGTCGCTAGTGATACAGCTCCCCCCCACCCC